GTTAATGTAATTGTCTTTTCCTTAATCTAGTTCCGCTTTGCTTTATGTAGTTGTCTTTTTCTTAATGTAGTTCCGCTTTGCTTAATGTAGTTGCGCTTTTAGATTTGTAGTTGCAGTTTGCACTTCAGGGCCACCGTACAATTTACATTTAAAATAAGAAAACAAAAGTGTATTGTCTTATTTCAAGAGTATAAATACTCATTCTATTGGCAAATAAAGGCTAAATATACTGAATTTAAGACATTTTTACTTCTTTCGAGATGTTTTTTCCAGTGCAGGAATTAGCCCTGACCAGCAGCCTTTGTCGCACACTCCCTCCTCTCACCCATTCAGCAGAGCTCAGCAGTTGGGTTTCAGCCAGACCTTTGAATTGAATACAGGCATGAAGTCATTCAGTCAGCACTAAACTCCCCAGTTTACAGACAACAGCCCTTCTCTCACCCAGCTCTCCACTTCATGGTCTAATTTATAACCTGGCTCTAAGGTTCCTCACTCCCATCTCTACAAGGTCTTTTTATTTTTCTCGTTGCTTGTGAGGCAGCAGTTGAAGCCAAACTGAGATTAACGCCAGGCTACAATCGATTCAGCGTCCGAATCACCTGCAACTTTTACAAACCGCCGTGGTGTGGGGTTTCTGCTCATTTTATTGGCATGCTTTGTTTGGGGTCGCTTAGCTCTGGATTATAACGATTTTGATTTAAAACAAAGTAATAAAATCATCTTTAAAAAAATAAAATAAAATACGAAAAAGACCAAAAAAAGAAAGCAGAAGACTGCAGGTAACAGAGCAGTGGCCGAAATCAGGAATGACAGAGAATGAAGTTATTTTTTAAATCAAGATGTCGAGAAGCTGGACGGAAGCGTTTCGGGGAGGTGCTGGATATTTCCAAAGACGGCCACACTGGTGTCAGAAAAACAGCTGAGCTTTGAGGGGATCTTTCAGTAGGTTTGAATTGTAAAGCTTGTACAATTTATTTATATGGTTTTTTTACACCTATTACTCAGTAGAGCTCTGAATACATGGAAAATGCACTATATTTTTATATCTCACAGATGAATTATTGTCATCCACAGGATTTCAGTTGTACATATTTTTGTTTTTTCATTTAGGACCAAAGACGACTGATAGGACTTTCATCTTTAACCTAGACTTCGTTTTCATGTTGCCTTTAGTTTCTTGTACAGTGATGCAAATTGTTGATTTATTATTTATTTTTCTGTGATGAAAGTATTGAGAAAATTCACTGGTCAAACGTATTTTCCCCAACAGCGGAAATGTGAGATGATTTAATTAGATAACTTCTTGTTACATAGACGATTCTTTTTGCTTTGTAATCTTTGTAATAGACTGTACATATATTTTTGGAAATATAATACAATCTCTACAGAAAAGTTATGTGTCTGTTGTGGTTTGTTTTGCTTTGTTCTTGCTTTTTTCCTTTTTTCATCCAATTTAATCAAAAGTATTTTTAATACCTGATTTCATCCTCAGTATCACTTAGAGTTACATAACCTTTATTGTCATTTTGTACACTTAGAGTTTATACAAAATGAAATTTCGTTCATTTCAGCTCTCAAGATATTTCCATTTCTTAAAGTCCAGTAGCGATCAAATCTAAACACAAGGACTGAAGTTATGAATGACTTTTTTTCCCCCCATTCTATTAAACATTCATCAGTCTAATGGCGGTGGGGAAGAAGCTGTTTCTGAACCTGCTGGTCCTGCATTGAATGCTGTGAAGCCTCTTCCCAGAGGGCAGCAGGGAGAACAGTCCATGGTGGGGGGGTGAGGGGTCATTGATGATGTCACGGGCTCAGGACACGCAGCGCTGCTCAGAACGCTCTCTATGGTGCTTCTGGAGAAGGTGGGGAGGATGGGGGGGCAGGTGGGGTTTTCCTTAGATAGAAAATGATCTGGTGAACTGGAAAGTGCCTTGAGATGACATGTGCTGTGAATTGGTAATAGAAAAAAATTACATTAATATAATGTGGACTGAGCGCAGAAATAGCCTGTAACGGTTGCAGACTGCAATACCAAGTTATTATTCATACAGTTGTTACAGTTTGCTGTTATATTTACAGTCAACCTATCCATCCATCCATTTTGTCCCGCCTATTCCGTGAGGGTCACAGTGGGTCTGCTGTCATCTATGGGTGAAAGTAGGTCACCTTTCCATCGCAGGGCACACATCCATGCACACCTAATAAAAATTCAGACCGGCCGACTAACCTAACAGTGTTTGGAGATTGTAGCAGAAAGCCAGAGTGCCCAACTGCAGAAAGCCCCTTGGTCGGGAATTGAACCTAGAACCTTCTTGCAGCAAGGCTACAATGCTACAAACTGCGCCACCAGAAGTGTGAACAGATGGAAGTATAAACCAATTGATGCCATGCCAAATATAAGCATGGAGCATAGATTCAGGAGTACATTTCATTTTAACCAAACATTACATTTTAGCCTCCATTAGACATTAAAAAGCAGAGGGAGAAGAAGAGTAAATGGTTGAGTTCAGGTTTCAGATGATTCCCTGGTTCAAAATCAATTGTTCAACTTGGCAGAAAAAAATACTGGGGTTTTATTCGCCTACTTCCTGGAGTACTAAACACTTCGACAGGCTTGAAAGAACAAGCAATGAAGCAGAAATTACCATCCATATTCAAGTGACCTCTTGTTCAGTGACCATTTCAAAAAGGACCCCTTCCAATGCAAGCTTTAAATATTGCAGCCAATCTGCTGTTAAACTAGATGGGCAGAAAATGTCCCAACTGTTTTATTTATCAAAGAAAGACAAATGAAAAGGAGGAAAATGCCACAATAAATGAGACCAAAAATGCTATATATATATATATATATATATATATATAT